GAGGAGCAGTGGCCCATACTCTGTCACTCCCCTACAATGCAGTCTCCCAATAATTCCATAATTATTGATTGGACACCTACTATGTCCCAGGCAACAAGCAGTGAATAAAATGCACACAGTCCCTGCTCCCAGAAAGCTCACAGTCTCATGGGAGAGTCAGTCTCCTGGGAGAGTCACATTTCAATAAAGATTAAGTATGCCAACAAACATGTGATTACAAAGTATGATGAGTGCTGTGGAGAAAACGTGCAGAGTGTTGAGAAAAGCTAATGGAAGGCCATGGAAGGTCCTCTGAGGAAGTTAGGCCTTGTAAGCTGGTTCTGAAGGATGAGAGTCAGGGAGGCAAAAGGGGCTTTTAGAGCAGGGAGAAGCATGCTAGGTGGAAGGAACAGCATGTGCAAAGACCCTGAGGTCGGAAGAGCAGAGCCTGTGAGGTGTTGCTGACGGAGTGAGCTGTGGCTAGAAAATGAGGCAGTAAACACTGTTCCCAGAATCTTCTTTGTCTTCCGCTTTGAGCCTCCTCCCTTAAAGATTTGTAGTGGTTTCCCCATCCATCATACTTCACATAGAGCTTCAAAGGATCACCTCCAGACTGCCCGCAGATTCCTTCAACCCTTCTCTTTCTCTTGGGTTCTGCGGAGAAAACACATTTGTCAAAAGACTAAAGCAAATAGTTTTGACGTGCGGTTCTGTACCATAAGGGAGGCTATAATGAAGTCGGTCCCAGTTTACATGACTCCAAATGGTTCCATTTAAATATCCCACCCTGTATTTACGTGTCCCTACCACTGTAGTTGACTGTTTATCTTCCAGTATACTCGACTGTACTTGCATCTTGGCCTTTATTTAACTGCATCCCTTACTTTCTCCATTCCATATCCTACCATTTACATTTTTCTTCAGGAAATGTAAATAGTTATTTACAGTATTAGCTTTTACTCTTGCATACCTCTATACATTACAGAGTAAACAGACTGTGATATGGGTTCTAGTCCTGAATTTTCCATAAACTGGTGGTGACCTTAGCCCAGTCATTTAACCTCACCGAGCCTAAAATGTTTCTTTGTAAAGTGAGGGGGTTTTCATTTTTGTTTTATGTTAGCTAGCAGATTTGTATCCAGAATTCCTCTTAAATTCTGTGATTCTGTATCTCTTCCAGCCACCTCCAAGTATTTCGCTTGTATCTTTGTCTTTATACGCCCCTCTTTCAGAATGTCTTTGTGGGTACGACTGACTTTCTACGTAATGTGCTTTTGTGGGATAGTGTACACAGAATAGCATTTAACAAATGAAAACAGATCACACTACCGGGCTTGAGTTAAAGCTCTCATATGTGAGAACGTGGTTGAGGAATAGGAAGATTCTAGCTGCAGGCCCGAAATTACCACAAACTGTTTCTCAAACTAGGTTGTAGGCACCCATAGGGATATACAGAGGTGTGCCAACAAGCACAGGAAGCCCTTCCTTCTGGAACAAGAATTCTACCCAAAGATTTGAGGGAGGGGTCAGGCACAGTGGCTCATGCCTATAATCCCAGCACTTTGAGAGGTCGAGGTGGGCAGATTGCTTGAGCTCAGGAGTTTGAGACCAGCCTGGGCAACATGGTGAAACCCCGTCTCAACAAAAAATGCAAAAATTAACTGGTTGTGGTGGCACACACCTGTAGTCCCACCTAATTGGGGACTGAGGCAGGAGGACTGCTTGAACCCAGGAAGTTGAGGCTGCAGTGAGCCAAGATCGCACCACTGCACTCCAACCTGGGGAACAAGGTGAGCCCCTATCAAAAAAANAAAAAAAAAAAAAAAAAAAAAAAAAAAAAAAGATTTGAGGGAGGGAAATAGACTTTAGTATTAAAACAAATGGATATATTATGAATAGAAGAGAAAGTCATACAACATCTTGGTATAAAAAGGGAACCCTGGGCTGGACAGCTTTGGGTATACTTCAGTGTAAGAGGAAACAGGGCTTTTACTTCTGTTCTTGGGTTGCTTGGAAATACTTGCTTTATGGGTCATTTGAGGTATGTGCACTTTAATAGGGCAACGGTGTTAAGTTATCCAGGAAGGGCATTCCTGTGAAATAATGGACATATGTAGAAACTTCAGTTTTACCCATTACAAGAGTTTAAAGAGGGTCCTGAGGTTGAGGGAGAACCAGACCTAACATAAGCCAAAGACCAAATGAGTTAAAGAATCTTTTTTTTTTTTTTTTTTTTTGAGATAGAGTCTCACTCAGCTGCCCAGGCTGGAGTGCAGTGGTGCCATCTCGGCTTACTGCAACAACCATCTCTCAGGTTCAAGCCTCCCTCCGGTCCCAGCCTCCCAAGTAGCTGGGATTACAGCCACCTGCCATCATGGCCAGCTAATTTTTGTATTTTAGTAGAGACAGAGTTTCACCATGTTGGCCAGGCTGGTCTTGAACTCCTGATCTCAGGTGATCTGCCCGCCTCAGCCTCCCAAAATGCTAGGATTACAGGCATGAGCCACCGTGCCCAGCCAAGTTAGAGAATCTTCCTGAGGACCCTAGCTAAAAGCTAGGCTTGAACTGACCCAAACACCAGCAAGATCTTTCACCCTTTCAAAGTCCTCAGGTAGCACTTCTTGTTCATATCCCTGGCCCTGATACTTACCATGTCATATTTTCTTGTGTACATATGGATTCTCAGCCAGAGTGAAGGAGGTGGTGTGAATTAAGAAAAAGTATCTGATCAAGAGTCAAGACCTTGCTTACTGTGTGACTTTTGGTTACTCTCTGATCCCCAGCTTGTTCACCTTTCAAACAGGTCCAGTATAACACCTGCCTTGCTACTGAATAGACTTGTATGCAGAGCATACAGATCTTTGATGTAAAAGCATTCTGTAAATCATTACACAAAAATCAGTTATTAACTAAGACCCCAAAGAGAAAACGTGCTTATCTCTCACATCCTCTTTCTACTCCCCTCAACCTCTAACTTTTGCCTGGTTAGTTCTGATGACTATTAACGATAAAGATCATGAAATGCTGTACCTGGGCTGACCCTAGGAAAACTAATTTTGTCTTTCTCTGCTACCTCCTTTCCCTCTTCTTCTGGCTTTGGTCCCCTCCCTCCCCCCCTACTCCCACTACCATTTGCTCCTGGACTGTTATTTCTTCCCACTGACCCTCCCAGAGAATTTGTATATTAAGAGAACACTTAAAGAGACAATTTAATGTATATGAAAGAATTGTTAGAGGAATTTCAGACATCAGTAGGGAGTTATACAGCAATGCCATTTTTGTGGGGGAAATGAACTGGTGTCATTCTGGAAGCTTTCTCCCAGAAATAAAAATGCCAATTTTTATTTTTATTTTATTCCCTAATTGTATTTTTAAAGAGAAATCAATCGCCCATCCTAAATATCTATGTAATAAGGAAGCATCATATTTCATTGAACTCTTTGCTCAAGAAGTCACCATGCAACTTCCTCACACTTACGGTGGGTTTAGGGTGAAGGGTGGCCGCTTCACAGTTGCATCCCTGAGGCAAACAGCAGGAGAGGGTGAGGAGGAGGAAGGGGCAGGTTTGGTATGGGTGAGTCTGAGATACTCTGGATAGACAGTAACTTGCTAGGCCACTCTCCTCGTATCTGCCTGGGCCTCAAAGTGGAATGGACTTTTTTAACGCACAAATCTTCTTGGGCCTCTTTATAATTTTCCCCTCCCAAACCCATGAGTTGTGCAAGAAATATCCACACATCCACACTAACAAGGCAAAGGTTTTGTTTTTTTGTTTGTTTTGTTTTGAGACGAAGTCTCGCTCTGTCACTCAGGCTGGAGTGCAGTGGCACGATCTTGGCTCATTGCAACCTCCACCCCGCCAGATTCAAGTGATTCTCCTGCCTCAGCCTCCCAAATAGCTGGGATTACAGGTGCCCCCCACCACACCCAGTTGACTTTTTTGTTTTAGTAGAGAGGGAGTTTTATCATGTTGGCCAGGGTAGTCTTGAACCCCTTGACCTCAGGTCATCCATCTGCCTCAGGCTCCCAAAGTGCTGGGATTACAGGCGTGAGCCACCCCGCCTGGCCAAGGCAAAGTTAAGGAGAACTCAGTCAAGGCAGTTTCTTACCGTAGTATCTTCTGTGTGTGTGTGAGAGAGACAGTTTCCCTTAGTCACCCAGGCTGGAGTGCAGTGGGGCGGTATCGGCTCACTGAACCTCCGTCTCCCGGGTTCAAGTGATTCTCCTGCCTCAGCATCCTGTGTAGCCAGGATTATAGGGCCTGCCACCACGCCCAGATAATTTTTGTATTTTTAGTAGAGATGGGGTTTCCCCATGTTGGTCAAGCTGGTCTTGAACTCCCGACCTCAGGTGAACCATCCGTCTCGGCCTCCCAAAGTGCTGGTGTTACAGGTATCAGCCACCGCACTCGGCTTCTTACCGTAATACTTTCATCTTTTGCTTTGTTACTGTACACTTTTACGGTAAGAAGTCGAGACAGAGTAATAAAGAGGGACACGAGCAGGTGAAGTGGAAATGCTTCCTTTCCATTTTCTCAGGCGGGGGCACTCCATGTCTTCACATCACTGCAAGGGCGACCGAGTAGACTCAAGAGTCAAGAAAGGTGAGGGCTAGAGCCCAGGAGCCGGAGGGCGGCCACGCGCGGGAACCACGGTGGGCAGAACCTGGCCCCAGCCCTGGCGGCTCCTCCGCTGCTCCCACACGTGACGGAAGAGCGCACGACCCCTGCGCCCCTGCTGCGGTGGCGGAGGACACGCTGTGGAGATAACCCCTGGGGTGTGACTCCGCTTCTCGTCTGCCCAGGCTGGAGAAAAGCCCCAAGCTTGTTCTGACGTCGTCTCAGCAGTTCCACGCCATCGTTTTTGAGGGGCGGGAGCTGACCTGTAGGGGCGGCCCGAGCGACCTGCTCGAGGCTTGGTTGGCTGGGAGCTCAGGAGCGACGCACGAGCCGGCCGCTTCCGGCCCTGGCGGGCGGCACGTGCCCCGCCCCGTTGCCCCGGCGACCGCGGCGGTTTGTTCTCAGACCCCCGGCCTCTCCCACAGCGCGCGCCTCCCCGCCGCCCCGCCGCCCCGCGGCGGTGGTACGGTCCGGGGCGCCAGGCACGAGGCCGCCCGAGCCGGCGCCAGTGGGCGCCCCGCAGCGGGGGAGGAGGAGGTGAGGTGAACGGCTGGGACCCGGAGGCCGGCTGGCGGCGGCGTTTCTAGGGAGGAGTCCGCCTCACCGCGGAGGAAGGGGCCTTCCTACGCGGCCCGCCCTGCGCGGGGCTTCTGTGGCCTTAGTTTCCTCGTTGAGGTCCGGCGCTCCATTTCTCTCTCATTCCCGACTCCCGCTCCTCCAGGCTCTTTTGCCCCTGTCTGCCCCTCAGCACCCCGAAGACCCTGAAGCCGCTACCCCCTTTCCCGCCGCCCCCAGGTGGGGCCCCAGGGTCTCCCCAGCCCCTTCCCAGACGCCAACAACGCGCCTTTCTCCTTCACCCAGATACCATCAGCAAAATGCCGGACGTCGAGGAGAGTGCGCCCCCGAAGGACCCTGGTGACTCAGAGGGCGGGTCCTGTAAGCCGGAAACCTCAGGACTCCCCCAGGAAGACAAGAGCGGCCCCGAGGACCCCCCTCCCTGTAGGTCCAGGACGGCGGTCAGTGTGGCCCCTTCGGGGCTGCTTAGTGTGGGGGTGTCCGCAGACCCCCCCATTCCCCAACTTTTCTCTCTTTCACCGTCCATCTCTTGTTTGTTCTCCTTTTCTCCCCCACCCGCCTTTACTTATAGGCCCGAGGCCCCCTGTTGACCAGAGGTCTTCAAAGAATTTTTGGTCCTGGAGAAAGAAGTGACCCAAGCGTGATTGCTTGAATCTGACGAGATTTGAGACTGAGTTGCTTCAAAGCCCTCCTTTGTATTGTATTTTGAATATGTAGGGGGAAATGGCAGATCTGGGGTTGATTTTAAAGAACACGAACGATCCCAGACGGGAATTGGGTTTTCTCAGCGCTTTGCTGACTCAGGAATGTCCTGGGCTGAGTCTCCAGCTCGGTTCTGTAGTAGATGTTCTTTTGTGCTCATGTTGGGGCACAGGGTCTCCTCCACGCTTCGTGGTAGGTACACTCTCACTGGAACTCATGCTTTATTTCTTTTAATCTCCAGAGAACGTAACTAGTCATCAAACTGAAGAGCTGTCCACATGCAACAACTTGAGCTAAAATTCTTGACTATTGAAATGCGAAAAATTAGTTTGAAACTCTGCGGCTGAGTTAGATTCGTTTCTCTTGTGGCCACAGGGCGTCGCTGCTGGTTAACAGAATGGCAACAGCTGTGACCCTTGATGAAGGATGAAAAGTCCATTTTTTTTGTAAATACAATTTAAGTTTTTGAGGTGTCTATTTAAGTGAATCCTTATACGAAACAACTCTCAGTAAAATGAATAATCAAATTTCTTTTTTAAATAATTTGAAATTTTGTATATTAGGTTGACTTGGGTTACATTCCTTGAAAATGTCTTTGTCTTGGGGATCTGGGTTTTTAAAATCTATTTCAGTTAAATTTTATCTCTAATTTCATTTTGAGCTCTCCTCCTTCTTGAATTTTAGAGCTGTGTTGGAGTTGCTTAGTGCTGTGTTACTTTTGAGCAACAGAACAGTCTTTTTGAGTCAGGCTGTGAACTTTGATTTGCTGCAGTTGGAAAGTGCTTCTGTGTGTATTTCCTTCCGTCCCTCAATAAGCTGCTGTAGCTCAATCCCCTTCTGAAGATTTTCTGTTAGCTCTCATTTAGCATTAGTGAATTAGCAGTGAGTCTGTTTCCATATTTGATTGTGTTTTGCCATTTTGGCTGGAACTAAAGACTTCAAAGAGGCTGCAGAAATAAAGGGAACTTCAAGCATCCACTTAAGGTCCAGTGCGCCTTTATGTTGCCCTAAGCAAGGGACTCAGTGGGTTTTTGGTAAAGGTCTGCAATCCCCTTAACTTAGTTTGAAATATTCTAAATCTGATGATGAAAAGTAAAAAAGAAAAAAATACAATGAATGCCCACATTGTAATATTCTGCCATATTGCTTTTTCTGTCTCCCTGTGTGTGTATTTCTCTCTCCCCCGTTTAAAATTGCAACGTCATTAGTTAATTTTTGTTGTTGGTTTTTGTTTGTTTGTTGTTTTTTGAGATGGAGTCTCACTCTGTCGCCCAGGCTGGAGTGCAATGTCGTGTTTTCACCTCACTGCAATCTTCACCTCCTGGGTTCAAGTGATTCTCCTGCCTCAGCCTTCTGAGTAGCTGAGTATGCCTGGCTAATTTTTTTATTTTAGTAGGGGGCGTGGTCGAGGCTAGGCTGGTCTCGAACTCCTGACCTCAGGTGATCTGCCTGCCTTAGCCTCCCAAAGTGCTGGGTTTTTTTTTTTTTTTTTTTTTTTTTTTTTTGAGACGGAGTTTCGCTCTTGTTACCCAGGCTGGAGTGCAATGGCGCGATCTCAGCTCACTGCAACCTCCGCCTCCTGGGTTCAGGCAATTCTCCTGCCTCAGCCTCCTGAGTAGCTGGGACTACAGGCACACGCCACCATGCCCAGCTAATTTTTTTTTTTTTTTGTATTTTTAGTAGAGACGGGGTTTCACCATGTTGACCAGTATGGTCTTGATCTCTTGACCTCGTGATCCACCCGCCTCGGACTCCCAAAGTGCTGGGATTACAGGCTTGAGCCACCGCGCCTGGCCAGACTTCTTTTTTTATTTTTTGTGGTTTCATAGTGGGTATATATATTTATCAGGTATATGGGGTATTTTGATACAGGCATATGATGTGTAATAATTACATCAGGATAAATGCAGTATCCATCATCTTAAGCATTTATCCTTTGTGTTACAAGCAATCCAACTATATTCTTTTAGTTATTTAAAAATGTGCAACTAAATTGTTGACTATAGTCAATCTGTTGTTCTATCAAATACTAGATCTTATTCTATTTTTTTGTACCCATTAACCATCCGTGCTTCCCTGCAACCCTCTAACACCCTACCCAACTACCCTTCCCAGCTTCTGGTTATTCATCATTCTATTCTCTATCTGCCTGAGTTCAACTGTTTTAATTTTTAGCTCCCACAAGTAAGTGAGAACATGTGAAGTTTATCTTTCTGTGCCTGACTTATTTCACTTAACATAATGACCTCTGGTTCTATCCACGTTGTTGCAGATAACAGGATCCTGTGGGTTTTTTTGTTTTGTTTGTTTTGGCTGAATAGTACTCCATTGTGGATATCTACCATTTGTTTGTTGATGGACACAGGTTGCTTCCAAATCTTGGCTATCATGAATAGTGCTGAAATAAATTTGGGAGTGCAGATACCTCTTTGATAGATTAATTTCCCTTATTTTGAGTATATACCAAGTAGTGGGATTTTTGGATCATACGGTAGTTCTATTTTTAGTTTTTTGAGGAACCTCCAAACTATTCTTCATAGTGGTTGTACTAATTTACATTCCCTCCAACAGTGTACGAGGGTTCCCTTTCCTCCGCATCCTCACCAGCATTTACTATTGTCTGTGTTTTGGATAAAAGCCATTTGAACTGTGGTGAGATGCAAAGTCATGACTTCACCTCTAAATATTTCATCATGTATCTAAGAGCAAGGGCTTTCTCTTATGTAACTTTTCTACAGTAACCTTATTTTTCCTTTTACGTTTCAAATATTTTTACTGTAGAAAAATTATACGCATGAAATAGAGTGAGCCCCCATTTATCCATCACCCAGCTTCAACAGTGATCAACTCATGGCCAATCTCTGTTCATCTATATCTCCTCCACATCTTGGAGCCAAATAATTTTCTGTGAAAAATCGTGATGCTTCATCAGAAGAGAGTGATAAAATAAGATAAAATATTGTTGATTGTATACAGCTTCATTTTATACACCAAGTAATCATTGTAACTGCCAGATATACCTATTATGTGTGAATGCTATCAGCTGTACTATAGGTCTGTACTAAAAACTTAACAGTGGTTGCCAAATGCCTGTGCTAGTCTATGACAAAATTCTTAGCAATATTTAGTGAAATGAAATCATAAAGATATTGTAATGAGTTTTCCTAAAGCTAAATTAATTCGATTTAAAGGACTGTTCTTTATTTTGACAATATTTTCTTTCTGGTTTTTTTTGGAGATTAAACTATCTTTTCTTTGATGAGATGATGATTTTGGTGGTGGTAGATGGATTGTTACTTGCTTGTTTCACTGTCCATAGTAGGCAAAATAAAAAGTTAGCAAAGCTGTTTTCAATTGCTTAAAATCTTTTTGGAAATTTTATTAGTCTATGAAATCCTAAAATCTGGGAGCTACTGCTTTAGAAGACCAAATGACTTTGACACTATTCAGTAAAATCTGAGTATTATCTCTAGGGAGAATTTAGCTTTCATCATGTGTAGCATCAGAGGCAGGAAAAGGAATGTGGAATCTTAATACTTAGAGAAATGGTTTTTTTGCAAATTTCAAATTATTGTTTCTTTGCTGTTACGATTTTACTCTTTAAGAGAAAAGTTTTCCATCTGTTTCACTTCCTGCTTTTTATAAACTAGCTCTCTGTCCTACCTTCCCCCAATATTGGACTACTTATTCTGAAAGTTTCTAGCACTGTTGTGGGGCATAGAGTGCAGGAAACATAAATCACTAGAATAGCTGGGTGAGTCTGTGTAAGACCAGTTTGATGAATCTAAACTTGAGGCCTATTAGATTGAGTGAATTTCTGAATAAAATAGAAATTCAGACTTGCATGGGTTCGTTGTTGTCCACCATCAGTTCTTTCTGTCATAGGTCTGACAGAAACTGTTAATGAAGTTTCCAAGCTGAGCAACGAGATTGGGATGAATCATGATTACATGGAAGAGAAGGTTTTACCTCCAAGCAGGTATAGACTCTTCTTCTTTCTCCATGTTACTCATTGAGGCATAGGTACTTAGCTCTAATGGTACTTAGCTCATAGGTACTTAGCTCTAAGCTAAGTACCTTCAGATCAGACTTGAAGCATTTTTATTTAATAATACAATCAGTATTTAAACCAAGAGGTCTCAACAACTTAAACAGAAGAGTAATAAGTTGTTAGTACCAAAGAAGATCAAGAAGCAAATGTTGTTTAGCCAGCAAATAAACCAAAGCAGCATTTGTTGGATTAAATAGTGTGGATTTCAGATCTTCTCTGAGAAACTTGGAGGAAGCAGCCTGTAGCTCTTACCTGTTGCTGCATAACAAATTGCCCCAAAATTTAGCAGCTTAAAATAACATTTCATTTTTTCGTTTGGGGTGGGTTTTTTGGTTTTTGTTTGTTTTGAGGCAGGGTCTCACTCTGTTACCTAGGCAGGTGTGCGGTGGCATGCTCATAGCTCACTGCAGGCTCCACCTCCTGGGCTCAAGTGATCCTCCTACCTCACTTTTTAATTTTAATTTTAATTTTTAGAGATGGGATCTCACTGTGTTGGCCAGGCTTGTCTCAAACTCCTGGGATCAAGCAGTCCTCCCACCTCAGCCTCCCAAAGTGCTGGGATTACAAGCATGAGACGCTGTGCTCAGCAAAATGATATTCATTATGTCACAGTTTTTGTGGATGAGAGATATGGGCATGGTTTAACTGTATGCCTCAGGCATAGAGTCTCTTATGAGTTGTAATCAGTCTGGTGACTCTTGGCCAGAGGCTCCCTCAGTTTCTTGCCACGTGAACTTTTCTATAGGGCAGCTCTAAACATGGCAGCTGGCTTTCCTCCAAGGGAGAGAACAAGGTGTGTGTGAGAGATGGTACCCGTGACAGAAACCAGTCTTTTTGTTACCTAATGTCAGAAGTGATATCCATTGCTTCTGCTACATTCTTTTTGCTTTAAATGAGTCATTAGACCCTGCCCACACTCCAGGAGAGGCTTCCACAAAGATGTGAATACAGTTGGCTCTTATATCTGTTGGCTCTGCATCTGGGGATTCAACCAACTGCAGATAGACAATATTAGAAAACTAAAATTAAAAATAACACAATAAAAATAATACACATTTAAAAAGCAATATAACAATTATTTACATAGCATTTACATTGAATTAGATATTTAAGTAATCTAGAGGTGATTTAAAGTTTACGGGTAGATATGTGTAGGTTATATGCAATACTATGCCATTTTATATCAGGGACTTGAGCATCCATAGATTTCTGAGGGGGATCCTGGAACCAATCCCTCTTGGATATCATGGGATGACTGTATCAGGAAGCAGAGATCTTTGGGGCCATCTTGTCAGCTGCCTACCATATAGCTCCTATCAGCTATCCTTTTAAGTGGCTTCATACTAAATAGGCACAGATAAAGCTTTTCTGTTAGTGGTGTTTTGACTGTTGGGATTTTTTTTCCCCCAGGTTCAAAATTCAGTTTAACTTATTTATCAAAATCTGAACTCTGTTGATAAAGAATGCTTTCTCACCCACACCAGGCTTTGTTTTTATTATTCTTATAGTGACATTGTGGTAAAGAAGAACCATTCAGTAAGTATGAATTGAATTGACTCTGCTGGTTTATTGACAATTAAGTGGGTAAATTTCAGTGTCAGATTTTATATTTTTAAACAATTCTTGGTCAGGCACAGTGGCTATTGCCTGTAATCCCAGCATTTTGGGAGGCTGAGATGGGAGGATTGCTTGAGGTCACTATGTAGCCTGAGCAACATAGTGAAACCTTGTCTCTACAAAAAAAAAAAAAAAAAAAAAAAAAAATTTAGCCATATGTGATGATGCATGGCTGTAGTCCTAGTTACTGAGGAGACTGGGGTGGGAGGATCACCTGGGCCAGGGAGGTCAAGGCTGCAGTAAGCTGTGATCGTGCTGCTGCACCGCAGGCCAGGCAACAGAGCAAGACTCTGTCTCTAAAAAATTTTTTTTAAATATTCTATCACAAATGAGACTGAAGAAAAAAAATTAAAAATTAAAAATAAATTTTTTCTAATTTCCCACCAAGAGACAAATAATGACAACTTGTGATTCATTTGCGATCCTTAAATGCTTTTATCAGAAGGCCACTGCGGGGCATCTGTTACTAAATGGCCTTTCTCCATCACATGTTGCTCCTCTGGTCTTCATGCTCCTTTGATCTGTTCTTGCCTGGTGCCAGCAAGTTTCCATGCTGGGCATAACTCTGAGAACAGGTTTTCACCAAACGAGGGTCTCCCAGCTGCTCTCTCGCTGTTTAGATATGTTTGTTGCTGACAGGGGAGGAGAGAAAACAAACTGGGAGAATAAGGTCTGTGATAGGGTGGTGGTGAGGGAGTTGCAGGTGCATGGGAGATAGAGGGGTATGGCAGGTAGAAGAAACGAGAGAGGAAAAAATGAAGTGAGAGAAATAGTACTGTTCAGAGCTGGGTTTCCAAGTATGTTGATATAAAAATTACGTTTGGAAAAAGGCTGAAATCGTTTGAGGTGACTCATATTGGCAGTTGGCTTTACCTTAGGTTCATAGGATGATATTAATTACAATTGTAGATTCCTAAGGGAAATTCCATTCTCAGATATTCATTTACCAGGCATTTATTGAGTCCTTATTATGTCACAGGCAAAATGCTGGGGGCTAGGGATAGATATAGATAAGGCATTGTTTTTGCTGTCAAGAAGCTTTTGTAGGGAAGACAGTTGAATAATAGAAAATGATTGATTAGTCTGATAAGTTCCCTTGTGGCTGTGCATATATAGAGTTTAATAGCAGCTGTTCAGCTACCTATGGAGGATCAGGGAAGATTTGCCTATGGAGGAAGATTTGGCCTATGAAGACTTGAGTCTTGGATGTTGAATAAGTGCTGTCCAGGTGGTCTTGGTGTGAAAGGTTACAGCAGGTAGTGGAGACAACATGTCAGAGGCAGAGAAAGGTGGTAGAACATGATATGTTCTTCACAAGCAGTTTGCTGTGGCTGAGCACAAGGCGTTACAAGGCAGAAGAAAATACATTGCAGAGAGAGGGCAGAGCAGTATGATATAAGGTAACATAAGCCATTTATCTTGCTGGTGATAGGGGAGCCCCCAAAGGACTTTAAATGAAATGTCATGAAAAGTGACATCTTAGAAAAAGCATTGCTTTTAGAATGAATTGGTGGCAGTATGGAAAACAGATTATAAAGGAACAAGACTAGAGGGAGGGAGACTAGTTAATTTTAAGAGATGATGATGGGAGGGAGTTGGGGACGGTGGTTCATCTCGGTAATCCCAGCACTTTGGGAGGCTGAGGTGCGTGGATCACTTTCACTTGAAGTCAGGAGTTCGAGACCAGGCTGGCCAACATGGCAAAACCCTGTCTCTACCAAACAAAAAAAATTTTTTTTCTTTTTTGAGACAAAGTCTCATTCTGACACCAGGCTGGAATGCAATGGTGCAATCTGGGCTCACTGCAACCTCTGCCTCGGGTGCAAGTGATTCTCCTGCCTCAGCCTACCGAGCAACTGGGACTATAGGCACACACCATCACACCCAGCTAATTTTTTGTATTTTTTAGTAGAGATGGAGTTTCACCATGTTGGCCAGATTGGTCTTGATCTCATGATTCACCCACCAAAGTGCTGGATTTAAAGGCGTGAGCCACCGCACCTGGCCTACCAAAAAAAATTTTTTTTAATGAGCTAGGCGTGTTGGTGTGCACCTGTAAACCCAGCTGCTCAGGAGGCCTTTTCCAGAAAGTCATATTGTTGGAATCCTACAATATGGACCCTGTTCCAATTAGTTGTTTCACTTAGTTATTTCATTTAAGTTTCCTTTATGGTTTTTTTTGTGGCTGGATGGCTCATTTTTTTCTTTTCATTCCTTTCTTTCTTTTTTTTTTTNTTTTTTTGTGATGGAGTCTCATTCTGTCACCCGGGCTGGAGTGCAATGGCATGATCTCAGCTGACTGCAACCTCTGCCTCTCAGTTTCAAGTAATTCTCCTGACTCAGCCTCCTGAGTAACTGGGATTGCAGCCACATGCCACCACTAATTTTTGTATTTTTAGTAGAGATGGGGTTTTGCCATGTTGGCCAGGCTGATCTCAAACTCCTGGCCTCAGGTGATCCGCCTGCCTTGGCCTCCCAAAGTACTGGAATTACAGGCATAAGCCACTGTCCCCAGCCTTCTTTTTCTTTTGAAATGGAGTCTTGTTCTGTCACCCAGACTAAAGTGCAGTGGTGCAATCTTGGCTCACTGCAACCTCCACCTCCTGGGTTCCAACAATTCTCTTGCCTCAGCCTCCTGAGTAGCTAGGATTTCAGGTGTACATCACCATGCTTGGTTAATTTTTGTGATTTTAGTAGAGACGGGGTTTCACCATGTTGGCCGGGCTGGTCTTGAACTCCTGACCTCAAGTGATCCACCTGCCTCAGCCTTCCAAATCATTTCTTTTTATCATTGAATAATATTCCATTTTATGGACAGTTTACTTATCAGTTGAAGGACATTGTTGTTGCTTCTAGGTTTTGGCTGTTATGAATAAAGCTGCTGTAAACGTTTGTGTGCAGGTTTTTGTGTGAACATAAGCTTTCAACTCATTTTGGTATATACCCTGGAGCATGATAGCCAGATCATATATAAGAGTATATTCAGTTTTGTAAGAAGCTGCCCAGCTGCCTTTAACTGGCTGTATCATTTATATCTGATCAGCAGTAAATGTGGGTTCCTGTTTCTCAACATTCTCGTCAGCAATTAGTGTTGTAAGTTTCCTGATTTTGACCATTCTAATAGGTGTCATATAGTGGTGTCTTTTTTCTTTTTGTTGTCTTAATTTGCAACTCCCAAATGACAAATGACGTTGAGTGTCTTCTCATACACTTATTTGCCACCTGTACATCCTCTTTGGTGAGATGTCTGTTAAGGTCTTTGGCCTATTTTTTAATGGATTGTTCATTTTCTTATTGTCAAATTTTAAGAGTTCTTTGTATATTTTGGATACATAGCCTTATCAGATGTGTATTTCAAAGATTGTTTTCTAGTCTGTGGCTTGTTTTTTCGTTCTCTAAACAGTGTCTTTCACAGAGCAGAAGTTTTTAATTTTAATGAGTCCAACTTAGCAGTTTTTTTCTTTTGTGGATTATGTTTTTGGCATTGTATCTAAAAGGTAATCGCCAAACTCAAGGTCACAGTTACCTAGATTTCCTCCTATGTTATCTTCTACAAGTTTTACAGTTTTGTATTTTACAAGTAGGTCTGTGATCCATTTTGAGTTAACCTTTTGTGAAGGGTTAAGGCCTGCGTTTAGATTTTTGTTTTTGTTTTTTTAATGCAGATATCTAGTTGTTTCAACATGATTTGTTGAAAAGCTCTTATTTCTAAATTGAATTGCCTTGGTTGGGTGCAATGGCTCACAACTGTAATCTCAGCACTTTGGAAGGCAGAGGGAAGTGGATTGCTGAGCCCTGGAGTTCAAGACCAGCCTGAGCAACATAGCGAGACCCCATCTCTACTAAAAATTAAAAAAAAAAAAATAGCTGGCACAGTGGCTCATGTCTGTGGTCCTAGATACTCTGGTGGCAGAGGCAAGAGGTTTGCTTGCACCTGGGAGGTTAAGGTTGCAGTGAGCCTTGATTGTGCCATTGCATTCCAACCTGAGCAACAGAGTGAGACCTTGTCTCAAAAGATAAAACAAATTTCCTTTGCTCCTTGTGTTTTTTTCAAGGTGGAAAAGAAAGGCTGATCTTTCTGGCTGCCATTATTAGATAGATGGTAGTGCCACGGAAATTGGGACTACAAGAGGAGCAAGTTTGGAGGAGAAAGATAATGAATATAGTTTTAGACATGCTGATTTGGACATATCTGTGGACATTTGGTGTTTTCAAAGAAGGATCCTTTCCTAGATTTCAGGAGTATAAGAAAATGAAAGACCATTTAGCTCAATGCTTTGTATATACACAAATGGAAATCAAGTTATATATCTAGGCTAGGTGCACAGTCAGTACTAAAAGTCCACATGACTTCTCTCCATTCAGGGTTCTTCCTACTGCAGAGGGAGGGCTGCTCTGGAACTACAAGGAGCCCTTCTGAGAGGTTTTACGATTGCCCTTGAAATACAAATCTAACCCTTGCTTGTTCAACTCCGCTGCAGTTCCAACATAGTTCCTGGCCTTTCCCTGTTATTATAATGGTCTTTTACCATAGCAAACTCAGTTTGGGGCTTAGGAGGTTGTGACACTGTAACCATTTTGGGGTTGAGACAATAATCTGCTCATTTAACCCTCTTATAGTCTGGAAGGCAAGGTCAAGGAGACAATGCACAATGCCTTTTGGGACCATCTTAAAGAGCAACTATCAGCAACTCCCCCTGACTTCAGTTGTGCTCTTGAACTTCTGAAAGAAATTAAAGAGGTGAGTGACTGACCTTCCGTTTGTAAATGTAAAGTTTCTAGACATCTCCAGCTCATTAGAATGTCAGTGGCTAGCAAATCTCAACTGAACATGGTCCATGAATCAGAGACTAAGCAATAAACAGAAATTGCACAGTAATTTCAGCAGGGAGCGTTTAATATAAAATTATTATAACAGGGAATAGGAGAAATGAGGACTTGGCTACTAAGAGTAAAGAGAACTAAGAATTATTGAACATCATATATAAAGGGCATCTGTCATACCCCTACGGCTGAGAGAGGCCACCCAAGGACCTCATTTGAAAAGGTGTATCTATTCCATGAGAAGTTGCTGGCCTGTGCATGCTGCTGACCACAGTACACTGCAGGAGCCAAGCACTGGAGAAGCTGTTCATGCTGCAGGAGCTGTGTACTGCAGGAGCCTGCTGAGTGAGCATACCAGAACCAGGAAGAAAAGCTCTTGCCTTTTACAATGTCTTTCTAGTATGCGGCAGACATACCTTAAGGTGATCACAATGTTCTGCACTCTTGTATAATCTTCTCCCCTTGAGTGGATGAGATTTGCCACTTCTAGCCAATATGGCAAAAGTGATGGTATATCACTCCCATGATAACATTTCATCATATAATACTCTGTCTTAGGAGACTGGAGGGAGAGATTCTCCTGCTAGGCCTGAAGAAGCAAACAGCTGTGTTGCGAACTGCCTACCGGGAGGGCCACATAGCAAGGCACTGCAGGTGGCTTTTAGGACCTGGAGTTAGCATCCAAACAACAGCCAGTAAGAAGCTGGGACCCTCAAGTGTACAGTTGTGAGGAAGTGAATTCTGCCAACAATCTGAATGAGCTTGGAAACAGAATCTTCCCAGTCATGTTTACAAATGAGAATGCAGCCCAGCCAGCACTTTGCTTGCAGGCTTGTGAGACCCTGAACAGAAGACCCAACTAAACTGCGTCTATACTTCTGACCCACAGAAACTGAGATAATAAATGTATGTGTTGCTATAAGCTGCTAGGATTATGGCAGTATGTTAGCACTAAACACTAAGTAACATCTTCTACAGATGAAGCTTAAAATGTGTCATCTGGAAAAGGAAAGATATGGAAAGAATTTAGCTCCATTTTCACAGAGCAGAGAAAAGAACAATGGATTAGGATCTGTGAGGCAATATATTGATAAATGGCACATTCCACCCCTATAGCTACTCAACTTCTACATGCACTCTTCTATACACATTTGAATTCCTGAAAAGAACTCTTACAAGACAGCTAGGTATTTATTATTTATCTTCTCCCCAACTGAGGAGACATGGCCCAAATAGTTACTCTATCCATCACTCAAATTCAGCCAGTTTCACTGAATGTTCTGTTACCTAAAGGCTAAATCATAAAGTTAACTTCTAACAACTTGTATATAAAATAACAATGGAAAGAAGGAGGAAGAACAAAATGTTGGCCTATACAAATAAACATACATATAGTAAGCAAAGATAAAATTTATAGTTCTGTTTCCATAACTGGTTACAAGGCTATAGTTGATATCTATGGCTTCCTTCTTCCACTATTCATTCATTCCATATTTCCCTTGTCCTTGGCCAGAACTTCAGCTGGTTGGGGTTCTTTATCCGGTGCAGTGACCCAAACCTTCATTGCTGAAGAGCCTGAGACATTTACTTTCTGCCAAGGCCCAAGAAACGTTCTCAAAAGGCAAATAATTATCAGTAAAGAAGGGATAGATTTGCTTCCAATTTCTAAAGGTCCATGTGTGGTTCTCTTATTGGTGCTGTGCAGCACCCTTATTTGCTATGGACACTTAAAAGTGTCATTGGATCTGCAGGATCATAAGGCCCAAATGGTAGAGTGGCTTGTACTATAGTCTAAACTTGCTGCAGAGCCTACTCTTGCTGTAGTTTGTTAGCACCCCCCCAACACCCTGCAACATATGGGTAAACGTGAGTGATTCTAACTAAATCAAAATCACTCAAATGAATGTGAAAGTAACAAACACAAATGTAGTGTATGTTGCCTCAAAAATCCAAAAAGGGGCTGGCTGTAGTGGCTCAGGCCTGTAATTCTAGCACTTTGAGAGGCCAATGAGGGTTATAAGTTGCTTGAGCCCAGGAGTTTAAGACCAGCAGGGACAATACAGTGAAACCCCCATTTCTAGAAAAAAATTTTTTTTTTTTTTTTTTTTGAGACAGAGTCTCACAGTATCACCAGGCTGGGGTACAGTGGCATGATCTCAGCTCACTGCAACCTCCACCTCCTGGGTTCAAGTGATTCTCTTGCCTCAGGCTCCCCAGTAGCTGGGACTACAGGCACCCGCCATCATGCCTGGCTAAGTTTAAGTAGAGACGGGATTTCACCATGTTGGCCAGGATGGTCTTGATCTCCTGACCTCATGATCCGCCTGCCTTGAGGATCCCTCCCAAAGTGCTGGGATTACAGGCATGAGCCACTGTGCCCAGCTGAAAAACAATCTTTTTAATTAGCTGCAGATGGTGGTCATGTCTGTAGTCCCAGCTCCTTGGGAGGCTGAGGTAGGAGGATCACTTGAGCCCAGATGGTGGCAGCTGCAGTGAGCTGTGATCATGTTGCTACACTCCAACCTGGGCAACAGAGCGAGACCCTGTCTCAAAAAAAATCCAAAAAGTAGAACCAGGTGTAGTGTGGCTAATGACTATAATCCCAGCACTTGGGGAGGCCAAGATTGGAGGATAGCTTGAGGCCAGGAATTTGAGGCCAGCCTGGCAACATAGTGAGACCCCACCTCTACAGAAAAAAAAGAAAGAGAGAGAAAACAGCTGGATATGGTGACATGTGCCTGTAGTTCTAGCTACTCAGGAGGCTGAGGTGAGAGGATCACTTGGGCTCAGGAGTTGGAGGCCATCATTATGCCACTGCACTCCAGCTTGGGCAACAGAGCAAGACTCTTTCTCAAAAAAAAAAAAAAAAAAAAAAATTCCAAAGACCTAAGTGTTATGCCTTTTCTGAAAATGGTGGGTGGCTCAGGTACAGCAATTTGCCTTTCACCCTGGAGGGGATCATTTGAAAAGCTCCCGACCACTGAAACTCTAGAAACTTTACTGAAGTGACAGGCCCCTGAATTTTTGTGGGAATCATCTGCTATCCCTAAGTTTGCTTGTGTTTCTAAGGCATCTAAAGTAGTTGATACTTCCTGGTCATCAGATCCAGTGGACATATGACTATCTGAGTTCAAACTTCACTCACGGTACCAACTTTTTATCAGTCAGAGTCCGGTCAAGAGACAGAAACCATGCAGTAATTTGAACAAAGAGAAGCTTCCACAGTGCAGGAGCTTGCTGAGAGGAGTATACCAGAGCCAGGAAGGAAGGCCCTTTTCTCTTGCAGTTTCTTTTTAACACCCTCTTTTGACAAAATCTAACATTATGTCAGCTAGCAAAGGAAAAATAATTTAAGGGCCTGGCTCCATTTTTGCAGAGTAGGCACTGAAGGGTAGATTTGGAGCTGAGAAGCTCCAAACTGGTAAATGGCAGAGCTTAGCAATTAAAATAGATACTATGAAGCAGCTTTGATTTTATTTGTTTAACATGAAGGTAAACAGTTGAGATCTCGCTATGACAACACCATATCCTATTCAATTAAATATTCATTGAACCCTACCCCCTAAGCCCCCGCCATGTTCTCTGTGTTACAGAAGCACAGGGATGAATAAGAGTCCCTCTTCACCAGTAACTTATTTTTGGGGTTACTAGGGTGTTTCAGTGACTTGAAACAGCTCCTATGCCTATTTCATCCTTGCCCTTTGAAGTAAAATAATCTAAAAAATGCCTACATTTTAAAGTTAAGAGACTTCATCACTATGTGATGGTGGGTATTTTATATTTATCGTACCCTGTATGTCTTTTGAACACACTCCTTTATTTTATTCATCTCTGTATCTCATTCTTCCTAGAAAATCATATACGGTTCCTGTAATTGATACCCTTAAGCCTTGAATTGTCATTGGCCTCTAAACAAAGATAAATAATATTCCATGGGAAATACAGAGAACCAACTTCTTGATCCTTAAAAAACATAGGCTGGTATGTCTTTAAAGGGGTTGCCCATTGGGTAAAGTTTGGGGCTCTAAACAGATCAACTCCTTTGACTTTCTTTCCTGGGCAGATCTTGCTATCACTGCTATTACCACGCCAGAACCGCCTAAGAATTGAGATTGAAGAAACTCTGGACATGGACTTGCTCAAGGAGAAAGCAGAACACGGGGCCTTGAAAGTCCCCTCTCTCTCTAAGTATGTTCTCAACATGATGGCTTTGCTGTGTGCACCAGTTCGAGATGAAGCTGTGCAGAAACTAGAAAACATTACGGATCCTGTTTGGCTACTGAGGTATGAAGCTCGGTACTGCCCCCAAAAATCTGCTTTAGCCCTTGAGCCGGGAAAAGCTGGGCCAGACCTAGATTATAGCCATTATCTTGACCAGCTCTTCCCTGCTAAAGACCTGACTAAGAATCTTTTTCTTCTCTCTGGTCAATTAACTCTTCTTTTCCAAAGACAGCCCTGTAGGGCCTATTGGTTAACCTTAGCTTGATTGATTGGGCCTTTCTCTATAATGCTATAAGACACTACAGCGCGTACTTCTTTCTTCTAAGAAGTTGAAATATCCCTTTCCCAGGTTTTCCTTCCTTTTCTCTTTCTTTCTTTCTTTCTTTTTTTTTTTTTTTTTTTTTTTTTTTTTTTTTTTTTTTTTTTTTTTTTTTTTTGAGACACAATTTCACTTTTGTTGCTCAGGCGGGGAGAGCAGTGGCAAAATTTCGGCTCATCACACCCTCTACCTCCTGGGTTCAGGCGATTCTCTTGCCTCAGCCTCCCAAGTAGCTGGGATTACAGGCACTCACCACCACGCCTGGCTAACTTTTGTATTTTTAGTAGAGACAGGGTTTCACCATATTGGCCAGGCTGGTCTCAAACTCCTGACCTCAGGTGATTCACCTGCCCCAGCCTCCCAAAGTGCTAGGATTATAGGCATGAGCCACCACACCCAGCCCTTTCCTAGGTTTTCTCTTCTTCTAGTTCACACACTATGAGGTGACATTGATGGGTGGTCATCCCTATTTCACATCGCTAGGAACCAAGACCCAGAAAGTTTAAAAAAAAAAAAAAATTGGCCCAGTAAGTCAAAAATAGCATCACTTATAATCTTTCTTCTGTAATCGCATAAGAAAATTGTTAGCATGGTGGTGTATTTCTTTCCACTAACTATCCTTTTTAAGAGACAACAGAATGACCATAGTGAAGGAGATCTAGATTGAAGGTCCAGAGATTTAGCTGTTCCCAGTTCTGCCACTAACTCACCCTGGGTATTGGGTCCTGGGCCACATGTTATCTTCTGAAAATGTAGGAGGCAGGACTAAGTTACTCTTAAGCCCCTCCTAACTCTAAAATACAGTGATTTAATGACTCCTTGGGTGCGTTTCCAGCTTACTAGGTTTCATTTAATATAAATATTCTCTTTCCTCCTGTGTCAGAGGGATCTTCCAGGTTCTGGGCCTGATGAAAATGGACATGGTGAACTACACTATCCAGAGCCTTCAACCCCACCTGCAGGAACACTCCATTCAGTATGAACGGGCTAAATTCCAGGAACTCCTCAATAAGCAGCCTAGTATGTATCTAATGTGAGACCAGGAGTGGGAAAGATATTACCTTGGGTCTGACTTTTATAATGTTACAGAGTACTCTGTCTCTTTCTGGGACTAGAAAGTTTCTTATTAGGTGAGAGGAGGGAGAAGGAACATTTATCTAAGACGGAAAGACCCTGAAAGCATTTATTTATTGACCAAGAATATCTTGAAAAGAACCTTGGTCTTGAAGCCTCATAGATGAAGATGCTAAAGATGCTTACACACTCCCTTCCCTGTCATAGGCCTCCTTAATCACACCACCAAATGGCTGACCCAAGCAGCAGCAGATCTCACCACGTCACCTCCGACTTGCCCAGACACTTCTGACTCCTCCAGTGTGGCCAGCCCCTCTCCTAACGAGGCAGCCAAAAACCCAGAGCCTCTCAGCCCCACAATGGTGCTGTCTCAGGGCTTCCTGAACCTCCTTCTCTGGGACCCTGAAAATGAAGAGTTCCCTGAGGTAGGAATGTCTGGGGGCATTGCCATGTTTTGTATTCAGGACTTCCGTCAGGACCTCCCCTGACAGCCTGTTCTTCCCTGGTTCCAGACCCTGCTGATGGACAGAACCCGGCTGCAGGAGCTGGAGTCCCAGTTGCACCAGTTAACCATCATGGCCTCAGTCTTGCTGGTGTCCAGTAGTTTTTCTGGCAGTGTTTTGTTTGGCTCACCCCAGTTTGTGGATAAACTGAAACGCATAACCAAATCCCTGTTGGAAGACTTTCAGTCCAGGTAAGCTGCATAGTTCTTTTTTAGAGTAGAAGGTGATAATGTGGTATTTAAAACATAGGCAGGTAATGAATGATTGCTTACTGTCTACCACAAACCACAGAAAGTCCCTTTGGAACCATCTACGAAGATTGTTGGTTTCTTTCCATAAGTGGTCATGAGGCTTGTGACAAAGGAGAAACTTTCTTCCAAAAAAGGTAGCGTGGAAAATAGTTTGCTGCAAGAGGGCCATTATCTAGTTGAATGGTGACACGGGGCTGGTGTCATCACATATATCCAGGACTTGGTTAGTTGGTCAGCAATACTGATTGAACATCCCACTGTGTGCAGGCCATCACACCAGAGGAAAAGGAGGAATCAGAAGGCCAGGTTTGTAGTTATAAATGATGAGGTAGGACAGGTGATCCTGGAAAATGCCCAATAAAGTCTTAGACATGTATATGTAAAAACAAAGTCCATGGGACTAAGAAATGATGAGTGGATTCAAGAATACAACTAAACACTTTTCCAGAGTTGATTTTATAGTTTGCTTTGTTTGCTAAGAAGTAGAACATTGTACCACACATAGAGAATAGCTGGTGTCTTGAGGGTTACAGTGAGGACACTGTACCTTCCCACTGGGCCCTGCAGCCTGCCAGGGGCTGGGGTTTGGAGGTGGAGAGGATGGCTGACATTCTCCCTCAAGTGGGCCTGGCGTCTGGTATAGAGCATACTGGGCTCTGGACCTATGCCAGGGTTACCGGGTGGGTGCCAGCATACTTTCTTTCATGTTCTAGGCCTGAGGAAGCTATACTGTCTGTGAGTGAACAGGTGTCTCAGGAAATCCATCAAAGCCTCAAGAATATGGGCCTTGCTGCTCTAAGCAGTGACAATGCAACATCTCTGATGGGACAGCTACAGAACATTGCCAAGAAGGAGAACTGTGTCCGCAGTGTCATTGGTGAGTATGCTTGTGGGGTAGTGAGAATGGTGAGGGGAGAGATAGATCCTGACCTTAGAACCCCAACCTTTAACAACATGAAGCATGGCCATTGAGTATGTCATTGTTTAGCCTTGAGTTTTTTCAAAATGCTGGGTTGAAGTCATATCCAAATCAGTTTAAAGACTGACTGTGGTTCTAAGGATGATTTGCACCCAGAAATTCATGACTTCTAGGCGTGGAATCCAACTGACCTGGTTAAGTCATTTGGGCCTACAGGTCATTCTCTGGCTGCACCAAGAAATCTGACATCTCCCACATCTCCCAACAAGAAACTAATGCTGAATTTGGCTGGAATACATGTTCCTGTAGTAGGGACTCCCCAGGAGGGGAGGCCATGAGCTTGGCTAGCTTGCTCCTACCTTAGCCATCTGAAGGATCAGTCTAAGATCTTCCTGTTACATCACTCACTCACTAGGATCTAACTTAAACAATCTTTTGTTTAAGATGGATACTTAAACAATCTTTTGAATAGTCTGAAATTTACTGACACACTAGTTTTTGATATTTGTCCTTGAGAGCAAGATAGCAACCCCCTTTCCAAACAAAACAAATTTCCTTATCTATAGGTAAGTGGGCAGGTTGGTGCATATCTGTTAACTTAGAACCTGGGTGAGTAGAGTGCAGGGGAAATGTTTCTTCCTGAAATCTGTTAGCTTTTTCCCTTCTCACTGTCTTTTCCTGCTCACAGATCAGCGGATCCATTTGTTTCTCAAATGCTGTTTGGTTCTTGGTGTGCAGCGGTCTCTGTTAGACCTCCCTGGAGGCCTTACTCTTATTGAAGCAGAACTGGCAGAACTGGGCCAGAAGTTTATCAACTTGACACATCACAATCAGGAGGTGTTTGGTCCCTACTACACTGAGATCCTCAAAACTCTCATCTCCCCACCCCAGGCACTGGAAACAAAAGTGGAGTCTGTCTGATAGTGTGGGCTCAGAGCCCT